TATATCAATTAAGAAAGTATCTGAAATTTCTTCCATATTTTTATTTTAGAAATTTTTATAGCATCTTAGTAATACAAGACACTTTTTCGATATAACATAGAGAAAAATCTCGCAAGAGTTTTCTTAATTGTTTCTATTCTTTGTCAGTTATTTAACTTCTGCAACTGACATATACGCCATATTCTTTTCGCTTCGTCTTAAACAGTCAAGATTTTTTGTTTCTTCGCGTAAAGAGCTTTAGTTTTTGTTTTGTTACTGTCATATAAGTAACTGTAAATGTTCTTTTCCAGTAACAAACCAAAACAACGATTGGAACAATATTATTTATTTTCTTAATGTTGTACAATAAATATACATTAAATGCCATTTGCTGAAATAAATTTATTATATAGTATATACGGCGTATATACTAATTTAAAACTATTCATTTATGTGAATTTCACAGATGGATTTTTAAGTTCAATAGTATGTCCTATCAATTAAAAAATTCAATGATAAAGAATGCATTTTGGATTAAACAAAATCATCAATAATACTTTGAAAATTAGTTTATGGAGATGAAACTAAAACCAAGACACTACAAAAAGAATTTGTCTGTTAAATAAAGGCTTTTTAAATATAAGCTGATTTTTAAGTTTACTAGTTTTGGTGAAAAATCTTATAATTGTATGGTATATTTCAATTATAACTAAAAATTTTTTTACTTACGCTTAAATCATTTTAATAATTCTAAAAAATTTATCATATTGAGCAAAATTATATTAAAATTATAACATTTCTATATATTACTTCTCTAATGTTTCATCGGTCCTACAGAATATAATACAAACAATTAAAAAACACTTAACAAACAACATATTGCACATCACATAGAAAAGTGACACAACTAAAAAAAAAAAGAAAAATTCAATTTTTCAGAAAAGCAACAAAACAAAATCAAGTGGCATTAATTATAATGCAAAGCAGAGACTGTCAGTTAAGAAACAATTTTAACTGTAAAGGTAGTTAAGTAACATTATTCCTGAGAATTTAAATAAAATTCAGGGCAATCCAATCATGGTATTAACTGAAATTTTAGTGATTCTGAGTTAATATCATACCGGAACGATCATTTTTCTATGTGATATGTGATATATTGAATTACTGAAAAAAATATTCTATTCTCTTTCAAAAAATTATTATTATTACTATAAAATGTGAAATATTTAACATTTATGTCATTACATTTTCTAATCTTTATTACGTTTTTTCAAAAAAAAAAACTTACATTATACAGTAACAATATTAAGAAAATAAAATCACCTTTGCCATTTTCAACTAAGCGTTTATCTTCTTTCAAAGCTTCTGTTTCCTCTTGAATAAAAAGTCTTTCAAGCATGACACTCTCCGGAGTTGGAGAACTTTTCTATAAAATAATTGAAAAATTAATTTCCTTGTTGATTTCTTTCCTTAAATATAATCACGAAATTGTAACCTGCTCCAAGAATAAATTTATTGGATTAAATATTTTGGAATTTCTTATGCTTTAAAATCTTAAATAATGATGATAACTGAATACAGTTATGTCTTAATTTATTATTTATATATACAGGTAGTGTCTACCTTACAAAGGAGTATGGTCTGTGTATGTGTGCAAATACAGTAGGATCTTGTTTCATACAAGATTGACACATGTGAATTTGTGTTAGGGTAAGAGACAAAATTTATGTGGAATTTTGTTTTATATGATATATATGGTAATAATTGACATGCAATCTCTACATAAAACAAGACCATACAGTATATACAAGGGTAGAAATTTTAACAGTGGGAAATAGTAAAATTACAATGTGTACAAAAAATATACATGTTTCAGATTTTTACTGTCCTTCAATGTAGTCACCAGCAGTGTGAAAGTTGCAGAATACCATTGGCAGAGCCTGTTTCATTGATAACCCAAACAGAGTGGTTTACTGCCTGAAAAACATTTGTAATAGTTCTGAACCACCTTCCATGCAGTGGTTCTTACATTTTATGGGTCAAGTCAAAGGGGATTAAGTCTGGTGAATATGGTGGATGGTAGAGAACTTTCCAACTCCAGTGAATGACCAATGTGGCTACACATGTACTTGAGCATTGTCATTCAAAATGATGGGTGAAGATAGTGTTTAATCTAGGCAGCATTAGTTGGTTGCATTGCATTGGGTTTCTATAGTACTGTTACCACTATTAAATTTCCAACCCACATATATAGTAATACTTCTCTAACTTGAAGCTCCAAGGGGCATGATAAAAACTAAGTTACAGATGATTTGAGTTAGAGAACTATAGAGTAAAAAATTCCAATTCTGAATAGATTTGTACTTTTACCTCTCTTGCATTATATAAAAAATCCTTAATAATTTTTTTTGTTTTAAACAGCTTGTGTAATGTCTTTCAGCAAGATGTTCAATGTAACTAATGGAATTGAAGAGTTTTGCAGATATATTTTGTTGAGATAAAGTGAAAAGACCTCTCTCTTTGGACTGAAACATTGTCTGAAAATTGGTATTGGAGAGTAGATACAACTAACTGTCTGAAAATTTCATGGAAATTCAATAATTAGCATCACTTTGGATAGAATAAATATTAAAATTTGAATTGAGGAAGTTGAAAGTAACGTAAATCAGTGCGAAGGAACTTCAAAAAACCCGAAGAAAATTCAAGCTAAGACATTGAAGTTTCAGATGTTAAATCCCTGTGATATTCCATTGAGACCTATCAAGTGAATTGCTTTGTTTTCTTTGAGTTAAAGAAATATTCAAGTTATAGATGTTTGAATTAGAGAAGTTTTACTGTATATATGTAACCATCCTTTATATGGACTCATAATGGATTCAATCCTCCAATTTTCATGAAGCAAATATTATATACCATGCATAAAATTTGCTATAAGCAACATATATATATTTAGATGATAATTTTGCAACCCAAATCAAATTAATTTAATTTTCATGTTTATTTAGTATCAGCTTAATAAGCATTGTAAATCTTCCTAATTTAAATATGAAAGAATATGTTAAATTAAATTAAATACATTACAATTAGATTAAATTTATCAAAATTTCCTTTTTATCTTACCATGCCTTCTTTCAGTAGTAAATAATGATACTTGTTATGCAATCTTTTGATTCTTTCTAAACATTTATGAGATATTGCTTCGAATGATTGATCAACTGTAAACAAATATTATAATAAAATGTAAAATTCACATACTAGAAAAATTACATGTGAAAAATAGAAATTCAATTCTGTTTAAAACTAACTTTATTAATAAAACATATCATATATATATAGTACATGTGTAATAAAATTATCATACTCAATTATTTAATGTATACAAAGAAAGATAAAATGTAAGAAATACATTATACATTTGAAAATGTTAGATAATTTATAAATAAAATAAAATACATTTATTTTATTTTATTTATAAAATTGCTAAACCTTTTAATAAATCCTAACAAAACAAAAGTTATGGATTTTAGCCTTGTTAGAAACACTCCCATTAATAATTTTTTCCTTAATAGCCAATGTCTAGAGACTGTTAATAGTGTCTGCGATCTTGGTGTCATATTCGATAACAGACTTTCTTTTAACCTACATGTTGAAAATCTAATCAAAAATATTTCCATCCATCACAGATGAAAATTGACAGCAGATATGGAATGCTTAGGGACTTAGGCCCCAATTCAATCATATATGACTTCCGATCCAGACCGGAAGTCATGTGATTTTTTAAATTAAAATAATAAAAAAAATTGCAGCCTAGCATTGTGATGTTGTAACAATAATATACAACTAGTTTAGGTTTAGTTTTACACTTGACAATAATCACGTTTTTCGTTTCATTGGCTAAGTACAACACCGTTGTAAATCTGGTTCTCTCGTGGTCTGTACTCTAGACCAATGGTCAGCAACTGGTGGTCCGTGGAGAAATTTGGACATTGATCAACAGAAGGTTACGTGAAGTATTACGAAAGAAATGCAAAATGCATAGTTACTTTTTTCCACTCATTGNGTGATTTTTTAAATTAAAATAATAAAAAAAATTGCAGCCTAGCATTGTGATGTTGTAACAATAATATACAACTAGTTTAGGTTTAGTTTTACACTTGACAATAATCACGTTTTTCGTTTCATTGGCTAAGTACAACACCGTTGTAAATCTGGTTCTCTCGTGGTCTGTACTCTAGACCAATGGTCAGCAACTGGTAGTCCGTGGAGAAATTTGGACATTGATCAACAGAAGGTTACGTGAAGTATTACGAAAGAAATGCAAAATGCATAGTTACTTTTTTCCACTCATTGGGGGTTTCTATTCGAATCTAAAACCAAATACAAAATAACTGTTATCAATAAATAATGAACAATAAACAATATTGTGAGAGCGATTGTCATCCTTTGTGGAAAAGCGCTAAGAATCCATAAACTTGTTTCAAACAAGCAGCAATGAACTTTAGGCTTGCATTAATTTGTTATAATTAAACATGCAAGTTTCGTATTAATATAGTAAAATTGAACTTTTATGATCATTATTCTACAGGTTTTGTATTGTTTAAAAAAATTCATGATAGTGGTCCGTGGGATTCAAAATTGTGAGTTTAGAGGTCCGTGAGGTCAGAAAGGTTGCCGACCGCTGCTCTAGACGAGCAGAATTTTCTTATCCTTAGAGTCCACTGTTTTATTGCATTCCATATCAAAGTTCATGGGTGTTTTGTCGATATTTCAAATATTTGATAATGGAAATTGATATTTCTCTTCAATCAAATAATAAATTGGTGAAAACTGGTAACTTAACTTTATGGTCAAGATCTGCTTGTAGCTTCTAAACAATTTTTGTTCTTTGTTGCATTACTAGAGTTTTTCATGTTCATAAACTGGTTGTACCATTCTGAGATTGCTTTAAATTCTCTACTCTGCTTTATTTAATTTTCTTGACCATTTCAGTGCATATATACTGTATATATATATATCTTGTTTTTTTGTGTGGACGTTTCGGCTATAAGTTAGCTATAATCAATTGTAGACCCTACAAAGAAAGGCTATATTTGATTCTGATCGGAAGCACCTCGATAAACAGCACCTAAACGAAGCCGCATTTCATCTAAGAAGAAAATAAGTGATATGCTATCTCCTTCTAATATTTAAAAACTAAAATTTCAAAGAACATCTTCGCCCAATTTTTGGGAAACAAGTGCCAAAGGTCCAACACTTCCTGGTTTAAATGTTGCATCTCTATCCATAATTCTAGAAGGCAGAAGTATCACGTGACCTCGTTGTGCCGATTCATACAACTGTTTCTGCATAACTGCCAAAGACACCTTATTGGAACGTAGGAAACCTTGCATGGATATCATCTCTCCCGAATCTCTTCTTTCGTCGCTATCATAACTATCGGAATCGTCTGCAGTCTTTTGTTGACGTTTCAGATGGTCTGGCGTTAGGGCATTCCGGCGTTTTCGTAATGCTGCAGGTTTCGGCGGGGTTTTATGTATCCTTCGACATCTAAGTCGGCAGTCAATAAGTTTCATTAACCAGTTTATAAACTGTTTGATAACTATGGACATGACGTTGAAAAGACTATAAAAGCAGCAGCAACCCGCTACTAGAAACCAAAAGTTAGCAAATCTGTACCATTGCGAATTGTGATAGCTTGTTTGATCACTAGGTACCAGGTCGCCGAATCCTACAGTAGAAAAGGCTACAAAACAGAAATAGAGAGATTCGAAGTAACTCCAGTTCTCCATTGTGGAATAAAGTGCAGAAGCGGTAGTAGCTATTGAAGTAGTTGCTACCGTCAGACACAAAAGCACCCAATAAACTGATGGCTTCCAGTCATCCATATGATCGTCGAAAGAGATCTGAGAATCTCTTCTACCATTGTCACTGCCGAACATTCTCCTCCGCAATTCTCTTTCGTGGATAGATCGAAGAACGGTTGACATAAGTGTGATGATTCTTTCTAAAAATAAATTAAAAAATAATATGGCACCGGAACAACCCAAAAATCCGTAGATTATAACTGTTATTCGTCCATATATGGTTTTCGGTGTTGTCATGCCAAACCCTGTCGAGAAACAAACAAAATAATATTTATTTAAATCGATATTATAGTTAATTCATTTCTACAGAAATAATTATACTAGTTACTGCATTTTAATGGTTACTGATTACAAGCATTAGGCTAATAATCAATCAAACTATTAGTTGACCTTGCATTAGCACTAACTTGTAAGTCACAAACTAATACGGTAAATTGTCTTGGGGTAAGACAGATTGTGACTAACATAATCTCAACTTAATTCTGTGGTTTTCACATTGCTTTATGGAATCAAACTTACACCACCAAATATATATTTGTAAATCATTTTAAACAACTTTTAACGATTCGATACGTTTATATTATATAAATGTATAGATATTTAAACGATAATTCGATACCATTTAATATATAAGCCGATCAAATATTATAGAAATGTAATAAAGAAGCTAACGAAGAAATTATATAGAAAAACAATTATTTATAAATTAATTATAGGCTAATAAAAATAATAAAGCACTTTGCTTTTGTTATTGTATTATAAATAAAAACATTAATTAAATATCTTGATGAATAAATGGATTAATATAAATTAAACATATTATATTATTAGTAATTATAACTAAATCAAAGTCAGTTAAGACCGGATATTCTTGGATTGATTCATTAATTACGTTGTTAGAAGTGTTAATCTTCAATTGTATATTGGAGTTTATCATCGCAAAATAATATAAGTTATATGAATTTAGATCTGCATTTTGGATTGGATTAGAAAATGAAAATTTAATACGTCCTTTTTTTAATATTTTATTTTTCGATTTTACAAAATTAATAAGTACTACTGTACTGTACATTTGATTATACAGTTTTGTACGTTATTTCTTTTTTTTTATGTACTGTACTTTAAACATCTTTGAAAGATTTCTGAAGTGGTTTCAAAGTATATAATGAATATTTATTTTTAATTAATAATTTCATTATGCCATAATAATTGAAATTAATCAAAAAATCTAGAAGTGTTAAATAAAATTATTAAGTTTATTTTACATAGAAATTATTTTCCTTTCAATACATTCATTTCTCATACATTTCCAATCGGTTTTCTGTTTACGTACAGTACGTAGTCCATATAATTTTAATGCAAACTCGACATATTAAACGTGTAATGAGTTAAAAAAAGGGGGGATGGGGAAGTAATGACGAGTGATTAATTCATAATTTATTTACTATGTTTATTTGCATTAAGAATAAAAGTTCTATTAATTTTTAACTTGTTTATCGCAAATAGATGTACAGTACTGTACACAGCAAACAGATTTTATAACGTCAGGATAAGAAGGTTTTAGTTTACTGAAATATTTTCAAATTGTTATTTACTTGTATCAAATATTCTTAAATCAAACTTGAGATTTTTTTTTATTGTTTCTTGCACAATATTGTTAAGGTCAAAACAGGCATACAGCAGTTGAAAAACAATCCCAAAAGGGCAGTTCGATGTTCGGAATAGAAAAGACGAATGGCGGTCCCTAGATAATTCTCTTGGCAATTTATACAGTTGTTAGAAGAATGACTTTTAAACATTTTATTAAGATTTCACTTTTATCGCTTATAAAATATAATAGAAGCAGAAATACACTTTAAATATATCATCGATATTAAATTCTTACGTTATAAATTACGTAATCAAGTCAAAAGCATGTAGGCCTATATTTAATTAAGTTTCCTTTATAAAACTGTTGTTTTAGCTATTGTATAAATTGTTCCGATAACCAAAGCGGTCATCGTCCCTATAAAAAGCGAAATTTTAATGGAAAAATCGATATACAACTAAAATAAAAAAAAACAAAATATAGGCTGAAAAAGCTCTAAAAATTATATAAAGCTCTAAATTTTATTATTGACAAGAAGAATATTGAATCTATTAAAAAAACAACAACAACAACACACACACACACACACACACACACACACACACACACAAACACAAACAAAAAATATTTGATTAATATCTTTTTGTTAAAGGTTAAAAGAAAATAATAAAAATACACAGATATAAAATTTGATTTAAATTTCTATAATATATACATATATATATATCAANTTTTTATTCGACTTAATTATCTTCAAATAAACAATAAATTTTTTAAAAGTATGAAGAAAAACAATTTACTTGCCGCATTCATAAAGTAACACATTTCAATAATGGACAATAATATACACCTGATATATAATGGATAATTTACAGCAAATATCTTCTCTTATCTTTATTTGTATACATTTTATATGTAATAATATTTGCAACCGAAATATATATCAAACTCATCGTTTCTATTATCATTTTTTAAAGCTTATTTAATAATTGAATTTACTGTTGTCAGAAGTGAATCGATAATTCAGTATAAATTTAATTCATTAAACTGTTAGTATCAGGCGGATTCCAAGAAACAAAGCTGAATGATGAAATGATTTGTATCTTAACAATTTATGCTCTGACGTTATATGATCTTATGATTATATACTTGCATCCTGGAAGATATCTTCATGAATTTCTTTACATACAAAAATAGGCTATCATTTTTTCTTTTTTAATTTTCAAAAAATTTAAGATAAACTTTATAAATTGCTATAAACATTTTAATACTGTTAGACAAATAGATAGGAAAAAGATAGGCCTATTTTTTTAAGAATAAATTAGGTCATAAGAAAGAATTTACCAGTAAATAAAGAATCATAAAAATGCAAACGATATAAATTTTTAAGTAAGGCTAAAGTATAATTTCATGGAAAAAACAAGCTTAGAATAATCTAGATTGCTTATATAAATATTAATCGTTCCATAAGTATTAAATTTATTTACTTAAAACGATACTCCCATAAAGCCGCAGTTATCATTTTATGGAACTGTTAATGTTGAGTTTAGAAATTAGCATATTGGAAAATAATTACTAGTCTTTGTCTCGTTGAATAATATATACAAAATCATTTTGATTTTTATTACGAAGGCTCCAAACAAATTAGTCGGGTTTATAGATTAATTTTCGGTTTAATAGAAAAGCATTCTCATAAAAATGACCATAACTTTTTGTTATTATTGATATAAAAAGAGTAAGTACCCATTTTATAAATTTTGTTTACGAAATCCTGTTAAATAAAAGTAAAAAAAAAAACTGCATCATTTATCATGTAAATTGTAATGTATATTTATACAAACAAACGAAAAAAGAAGAAAATGTTATAAACTGAAAATGCAATAAAGTTTAATGAAATTTTCATATTTTTCAATAATTATAATAAATGATAAATAGTCTATTAAAATTTTTAAAATCGTTTATTGTTAATCTGAAATTTAAATGAAGAAAATTAATAGCGATTGTCACGGGAAAATTATTCCTTTTAATATTGAATTAGATAATAATGAAAATTAATCAAGTATATGGAATATGACAATGAATTAACCAAATATACTGCTGATTGATCTGATTAATATAAAATGCAATTTACCTTTATCATAAACGCATTCAGGAAGCTTTATATAGGCTATATATAAAGCTTTACATATATACTTTGTACAGTACATACAAAAATAACAATATATATATATATATATATTGTTATTTTTGTATGTACTGTACAAAGTATCTTTTATAAATACTTGTAGATATAGAGAAAAGTTACTTTTATTAGATCCTGTGACAAATTACAGAATTGAAAGTAAGCACTGACGAATATATAAATGAATCGACTCTTTTGTTACTAGTTACAGTAAAAACTACGGATAAAATATGTAAATAATACTTAAAGGCTACACCGAAATTATATTTAAGAGAATTTCTTGCTTATCTTTTAAGTAAGGAGATCATAAGATATTGATTATAAATGACTGGATTTTCTGAAGTTCTTATTGCAGAACTGAAAGAATGTTTGAGTTCATATATTAAAGAGAAAAAAATATAGATATACAACCGACATAAAATTCGAGATAAATAACAATTTAGATAGATATGGAACTTTGGCTATCTCTGAATAAAACTGTATAATTGCTATGCTTACAAGATTAAAAGATACTTAATGCTAGTATATAGATCTATTCGTAACAATTTTTCTTCTTTTTATACCCTTAAACACGTTATTTAAATCTATTAAACTGTCAATTTGTTAAAATCACATATAAAAATATTAATATTTTCAATATAAATGCACTAAACAGATATTTTTTAAATTCCCTCATTATTAACGGAAAGTAAATCTGTTTTGTTAAAACTTATATTTAGAAAATCATTATAATGTCTCGTAAGACATTAATAATTTAACTAAAATAATCGTCCTCGCCATTCTTTAGATCAATTCGAGTGTGTCTATTCTTTTAATTAACAGATGCTGTTTGATCTGTTCACGTCGTACTGTTGATATATAAATAAACGGACACTTGATACGATTGATTTCAGTGTATAATTGTTTGCTAACAAAATGTAAACCGTTTAATTGTTATGCGAAATGCTCATATTTTTCTAAAGGATTTTTATTTATTTTTAAACGAGATACTCACATTTTTAAATAATTTATATCTAGCTTAAAATAGACAAAGCAATTTAATTATCATTTTTATAACTAATTCAATATATATTTATGTTTATATATATTTATATAGATAGAATGTACGGCAGTATATTTATGAAAATTATTATATTTTCAGAAAACAATCTTTCGAGATCAGCAGAGAACTACTTTGCATGCATTTGAATATATCAATCTACATAAACTTGAAATTACATTTTTTTAAATAAAGAAACGTCGTCTCCTCTGTGACATTTTGGGCTATTGCGCCCTTGGCCTTGACCCATTTAAACAAAATACAGTTTAGTATAAATTTATTATTTTCTTCTATAAGTTTGCCAAGTTTGGTAGAATTATCAATTTTCATGTTTGAATAAATCGGTAAACTTCAAAACTATAAAAGTATTTCTTGAAGTATGTGTGCCCTACATACACAGTCTTGTTATTTCTTTATTATTATTGTTATTATTATT